ATATATATATATATGTTGCACCCTAACAAAATAATACTCAGTTTATTCAACGCCAAGGAAAAGTGGAGATAACATTTTAATTTGAACTCATAAGTTCGCGTTCGATGGTAACGTTTTAATCAACAAGTTACTCAAGTCGATGGGCGACTACTGCGTTGGCCGTCATCAACGTTCTCCCGATCAGCTTTGGAGAGAACTATTCATTTCTTTTTTGGGGGTAAGCAAGAGCATTGTCCTCTCATGTTCACACCCGCCCCTCATGAATATTCTTCAGCTCCTCCTTCTGGAGTACCAAGAGGTGGATGACTGAACGTCGCTGAACATCATCGATTGATAGTCAATCTTTGGAAAGTCCCATGTACTCCAATTTGAAAATCTGCTTTGATACCTAGGTGGGGTGATGCTGAACTTCATTCTTGTTACCTGTAATGGAAAAGATGATATATTCCGTTCCGTACGACATAATTATGTCACCGAATACGTGCTCCTTCCTAGTGAAAAATATTAGCTCTCATAAAGGATCGCCTTCAATCAGTATATTCGCCATGGAACAGTCTTGTTAGCAAAGGGATATTGTTATGAAGCAATTGGAAATGATTTGACATTACTACTTCTGTGAATCATAACGATGTTTGAGTTTCATCAGCTGTCTATGATCAAAATACAGATAGAGAGTTGAATTTGTTGTTTAAAATCGGTAAGGAAACTGGATTGGATTGGATTTCTGCGTGCAACTGCTAAAAATGAGAAATTTCTTAAAATTCGTTGAATTAAAAAAAAAGGATTCTTCCAATGCATTGTGAGATATTATGCTTAATTGTAATTTTATCAGTCATTCGTGGCTTATGATCCAGAAATAAACAATTATCAAACATAATTCATCTGAGTATTTACAGTATTTCTAACAACTTGATAGCAATGCATTGAAAATCTTTATGTTTTTGTATTTGTTACCCCTTCGACCCCCCCCCCCTCCCCGCATACTAGAGTAATACTCATTTCACTAATGCTTTATCAAATTGAAATTTAGACATTATTTGCAAGGAAAATAAACATGCAAAGATTTTTTTAAAAATGCTGTAACAAGAATATCTGTAATTGTCTTGCATAAAAATGATATCACTACAATGAATGAAACAAGTACAGACAACATAGCTTGTACCACTTATGTTTATTTTGTGCAAAAAACTTTCGCCATTTCAGCCTTCCATATGGGCTTTGTTAGGTTTCAAGTGCCATCACATTTTCCTCCCTTAACAACAAGTACAACAGGTAAATGTATAACAACAATGCATTTATACCGCAGTCACACCGACGTAACCGACACCAGACCATCTACAGACCGACTACAAACCGAACAAAAAATTACGTTACTCCGAATGGCCCCGAATAGGTCTGTTTGTAGTCGGTATGGCAATGTGACTGAGGACTTAGGCTTAGGGATGTAAGTTAAAACCAATGGCATAGCCCCCCCCCCCCCCGCCCCTCTTCCTGGTCAAACTTTGCTTGATACGTCATGGCTGAGAGTGGGAGAAATATTTTTTCTCGTTTATCAGATTTTTGAGCTATATTCATTCCTCTGAAAATGTGATAAGCCTACTTTTTTGCTTCTATGAAGTAACTCCTTGTGGATCCGCCAATTTATAATGTAGGAAATGTCAGAGTATCATATACATTTTAGGAATGCCCTTGGAAATAATTGGATTGCAAACATAAATAAACTATAAGAATATTTTTTTTTTTGTTGAAAAATATAAGTTTGGTAGAGCGATGAAAATAATGAGACTTTTTCCATGATTACCTAATACCTTGTGATAAAAAAAGACTCCCAGTTGTTGTACTGGGTGGAATTATGTGAACATCGTTTCACAAACAACGGTTATACACACAATATTAATTCTACAAAACCTGAATTCAAGTCCTGACCATTCGTATCCCGACCATACTGTCAGGCGCATGTACACATGGCTAAATACTTTGCCACACTGAATTAACGTTAATCAATTTTGTTCAAGCTTTGTCCAGACTTAAGTTAATACTTTTCTTCTAAGATTAGATTATTTTTGAGAGATTTATATTTTAAAAGTAAAAGTTAGAACGCCTATAAGAAATAGGTAGTTAATTGTAATAACCTGCTTGTTTTTGTTTAAATTTAAATTTGTTGAAGATCATAAAAGAAAAGTTGATGAAAATGATATGATCTGATTGCCATGGTAACCTATTAAATTTAATTCTGTAAAATGTTCAAATTCACGGACGGACAAGATTTTAACAATATTAACCGACTGAATGCTCACCAACGAACGATACAAGATAAGAACGGTTACAGACATGTACGTACTGCAAATATTGCAAAGATAGATGAGTGCTACAGTGTAAGTAGGGAGCATGCATGTTTGTCGCACGATTTAGTTTTAAGCCGTTAATGGCATCATGCAAATTGAATCAATTTGCAATACAAAGAAACTGCTAAGAATGTAAATAGCGTCTATAATCAATGTATATTCGTTTCTGGGGCGTGGATTCCATATCCAGAGGCATTGGCGTACGCAGGATTTTTTCAAGGGGAGGGGGGGGGGGGGGGTTAACATTTCGAAATCGGGCCGAAATTTTTTTTTTGGGGGGTCTCGAAATTTGAAAAATTTACATTTTTCTTCGTTGGGGGGGGGGGGGGGGTAAGGTCACCTGTTTTAGGTCAGCTATTGGCATAATTATTATTATTATTATTTTTATTTTTTATTTCTTAATAACAAAAACAAAAAACAAAAAACAAAAACAAAGGGAGGGAGGGGGGTTTTCCTCAAAAATGCACACATAAAAATTACCAAATTACCAGGGGGGTGGTTAACCCCCCCCCCCCCCTGCGTACGCGCCTGTCCAGAGGCATACGACCTATTTTTGATCCTGTTTAGCTTAAAAAAAACTCGGAGCCCCAGCCCGAATCGCCAATTATTATTATTACTTTATATACAGTGCGACCCAGAAAAAACGAAACCGAGAATTATCCATGTTTTATCATTAATTAATCACAATTATAATGAACAAAGTCATTTGGCGCGCGGTATCTGAATTTCGAAGAATAATTCACATTTCTAGAAAGTTCATTTTCTGGTCTATCATATGACACCTGAATCAGGAAAAATGAGCAAGGAATAACAAAGTTCTGTTTTTTGAATTTCCATGATTTGATTAAATGAATTCGTTTTCACTGGCTGCTTGCCGTAGCAACAAACGGAATTGACAAAAGACTTAACTACGTTTCGTTGACGATCAGACATAGACGAAAGACTTCATGCATGGCTGATTTTCAATGAAACGGAGTTAAGTCTTTTGTCAATTCTGCTTGTTGCTACGGCAGGCAGCCAGTGAAAACGAACTTTTAAAATCAAATTATGGAAATGCAAGCATCACTTTAAACAAACATAACTTTGTTATTCCTTGCTCATTTTTCCTGATTGAGGTGTCATATTATGAAAGGGCAAAAAATAAACTTTCTAGGAATGTGAATTTTTCTTCGAAATTGAAATACCGCCTGCCAAATGACTTTTTGGTTTCCTACTTTCAAATTGCTTCTAATCACTCATGCGCGAAATATGCATCATATGAGTTGCATCAAATGAAAAAGGAGGATCTAAGCTTTACAAATATGTGTCATTTATTAATTATAATTAATAAAACATCGATAATTCTCGGTTTCGTTTTTTTCTGGGTTGCACTGTATATATATATATATATATATATATATATATAAGATATAGGAGTTGGAAGGTTACACTTTATTGGTACGAGTTATACAGACTGTTTCGCCAGAAGGTTCATCAGTAACTAAATACATAATACAATCATGGCGAAGTTAAAAACACTCATGTGCAGTCAGGCAAGAATACAAAAGAGACACAAATAATACCCAAGTAAGGGCGAACGCAATAATACAATAGTGGAATTAAGTGGTTTAAGGGTAAGGGGAAAGGTCATGGTGGTACGGCGGGTGGGGGAGGGGTTTAACCATATTCAGAGAGTAGAAACTTTCTCTTATGTCTCCACATGTATTTTTTTTTGGGGGGGGAGGGGGGGGGGGGGGGGGGTGACATTCCCATTCAAATTTCTGTTAATAATTACAATTAATTTTCCACTCCATATAATCATCGGCAAATTAAACACATGCCTATCGATAATTCGCTTACCTTGCTGGTAAATTTAAAGATATGACAATTTGGGGAGGCGTATTTGACATTTTGATCCTAACACTTCCCTCATTCAAAATGGACCATGAACATGCATTCATGATGGCCCTACTTTTTAATGAGAAAGTTCACCCTAATCACTAGCTGGTATTGATAACAGCAGAAAATGAGAAAAAACAAATTGGTGCAAGTTTAGATCAAAAGTTGTCATCAGTGAAACACAAATTGGTAACACTGTGACGAATCTTGCGAGGTCCTCTAAGATTTTCTTTGCATAGAAATGTCATAAATTGTCATTTTCCTGGTTGGGGGAAATGACGGAAAAGGTTTGTTTAATACTGGGGTTGTATAGAAACGTATTTGCAATCATCATATTTAGGGTGCATGTATGATTGTACATTCTGTTTCTGAATTTATTTTAGTACAGGGCGAATGGGAGGGAACCTCACAAGATAAGTCGAAGAGTTGTCATTTTGTGTTTGTTTGATCGCAACATCAAACATTCATAAATGTCTTATTTTCAATCGGATTTAGCTCAAACTAACCTTAAAACCAACTTAATAGCAGGTTGGTCTTTTCCTTTAAATTGTAATTACAGTCGATTGTGTGATGTGGGGAGGCAGATCTTCCTCATAACGAAGAAAAACAGTTAAACTATCTCGAATAATTTATATATCAAACAAGTGCTTATGTAGAAATGACCAGTTGCGTAGACATGTTTTAGTGAATACATAGTTGTATTCATTAAATCCCCCGTACGAAGAGATGTCTTCACGAACGGAATTAACCACCCCTTCATTCATCTCAAAATAAGTAAATTCATTTATTCTTGTCACGAAATTGCCATTTATAGATCCACTACGTAACTTAATTTCATTTCATCGTTAGCTGATGGGTGAAAATTGATAAGTTTTGCAAATATTTCATTTCATGAAATACAACTCTATCGTAATGCCAACGAATTTTAACCGGTTGAACATGCATGGTGCTACCAAAGCATTTTATTTTACAATTAGTTTGTTAGCACTTGAAGTGAAATATGTGTCAATCTGATGGCGGTTATGTACCGAAAATGGAAATGATGGCCACGAGTGTCACTGATAGGACTTAAAACACAATTGATAACTTAATTCTAATAAATCGTGCAATCATCATCCATTATAACAAATATTTTTGTGATTATACATCAGTAGAGATTTCGTATAAATGATGACAATACCGTTAATGGACGAAAATCAAGCGGCGTCAAAGCCTTCAAAGTAATTTATAGTACATGATTGTATACCACTGAATACTATACGTAATTGACACTAGTAAAGTGTGCAGACATAATGTCACAGAGTTCCTCTCATGAAACGACAGGTCCAACTCTCACGATGGGTCGACGACAGCGTTGTTGACATCCACCAAAGTTAATCATGTACCTCCTCAAGGTCGGGTTAGTAAGGCCATAGAGGATGGGATTGAGTGCAGAGTTACCCCACAGTAGACCATTGACAACCTCCCATGTAGTCTCTGAGAAGCATTCATCATCACCACACATCGCCTGTAGGATGCTGACGATCTCGAATGGCAGCCAGCAGACAAGGAACGTTCCCACCAGGATGGACAGGGTCAAAGCTGCTTTCTTGTGACGGGTGAATACACGCTTATGTTGCTGATATGTCGTCACGCGTTGCTTTCCGGGATTAGGCACATTCTGAACTTGGGAGGTTGAAGGATTGTTCACACCAGGGATGAGAAAGGAACGCAGTGATCGATTCTTGCGGCTGGACATGACTGCTAGCACAGGTTCTGCCCATCGATCCGTGTTCACATTCGAGACAGAAGGAAGATCAGAAGGATCTGCTTCATGTGACATACTACGCACCTCAAGGTGCGTCTGACTCTCATTACCATTGCGTGGCTCCGTTGAAGGCAAACCGAGATTGGTCTTGAACCTTCGGAGATTCTTTGATCGTTGATGAATTTGATAATACACTGATACATTCAGCCACACGATGATCGGCAATGGAATCCCAAATTCGAAGATCAGAGTACCGATTGTGAAAGGCAAAAGATACACAATTTCCAGTTCGCATTCGTCTTGGAAATCGACAAGGTCTGCACCGCTCATCGCGAATGCGGCACAGAAATAGATAGCGATGCTACATGACCAAGACACCAAGATGATGATGGTAACTCTCTTACGAGTCCAAACAGTACGATACCTTGTTTTCTGAGACATCAGTAAAAACCGATCGAGACTTATCAGCATGATTATCACTGTGGACATGTAGGTTGCAGAGTAATCCAAAGTTGACCACAATCTGCAAACGACCTCACCAAACATCCAGGAGTCTTCGGCCACCCAATGCAGGTTGATGGTCAATACCAAGGTACCTATCAGAAAGTCCGATATTGACAGACTGAAGATGAGTGTATTGGTAGGGATGGCACGTACCTGAGAATGGCGGCAGTAAGCTAAGATCACCAACAAGTTGCCAATGATAGTGACGATAATAACCAGGCTATAGCCCAAGATTAATGGTACTCGTCTAAGCCCTCCTTCGGATTCAGAATCATCCTGTTGGATAGTAGTTTGATCATAGTTCACATCAAATGATTGGTTTATTTTGCTGACTATATCTATACTTTCCGTTGAGATCCCGGCCATGCTCTCATTTATGATCATTATACTGCTTGTGGCATTCATTTTGTCAAAATTAGAAAAGGATGAATTCAGTTTAGCGCGGGTGGTGCAAGAATCAATTAAAGAATGCAAAAATATGAAATCGATACACCCTGCTTGATTTGTTATCTAAAATGTATACATTACTTGGTTGTCCATAAGTTATCATCACACAATAAGTCTCGATATCTTCTACGAATCCACGCACTCCTGATTGATTATTGAGTCCTTGCTTTCAGTTCTGGTTCGGTATAGCTAGACGCGTAATGAATCCAGACTAGTTCACTCACCATAACAGTAGAAACGGTAATGACCTTAATATTAAGCAGTTGGCATCCCAGCCTCGATGAAAATGCTAGACGAAATAAGAATTACTCTAAAGAGTATCTGTTGTTCGCAGGCAGCTTCAACCAGCAACATGAAGATCTTTGATCGGTTTCATTTTAAAATGTCTTCAATATTTTATTCAAACAGGTAGATACTGGACACGATTTTAAATTGAATTAAAGCCGAGGTGCTTTTTGAGTGATTGTCCGTCAATAACGAGATGTCGGTCAGTGATGAATGGATGACCCAAATGGACTGCCAGACCAGACAGATAGTAAGTTGGACACCGAGGGAGTATAATCAGCGATGATGGTGGAACCATGTTCGCGCCATCGTGGAAATAAGTCGAATGCGGTGTGTTTGCTGACAATATTCATAAGGGGCCTAATCACACTCTTCCCAGGCGATACGTCGTGTGCAAAACAATCGTAGCCGCCTGCTCCGACAAAAAAGAGGTTGATGTATCAGAATACAGCTTCATTTACTTCGCTGTCTGTCCTTGGGGGTGTTTTCGCGCTCACTTACGTAAAAATAATGCGCTGAAAGCAGATCAAAGCTCAACAATAGCCGACTCGATGCAATTCAATTCAATTTTATTTCATTCAGTTAAAATTACAGCATTACATTTAACAATCAGATATATAACATAAAATACACATATTGGACAAGGTCTAAACATGAATGTCAAGAAAACTAATTTAATGATTTTTAGTAGAACAAAGAATAAGCCTAGAATATGTTTGAAACTCGATGGACATATCATTTAACAAGTCAGTAATTACATCTACTTAGGACAAAATATCACAGATGATACCAGATGCGAAGCAGAAATAAAAAGAAGAATAGAAATGGCTCGGAATACATTTCTGGCAATGAAAGGATTATTCACAAATAGAAAGGGGAAATTTGCGCTTAGGTTGAGACTAGTAAACTGTTATATATGATCTGTCCTATTGTATGGAGGAGAAGCATAGACAATAAGCGAGGCCATGGAAAACAGAATAACATCTTTTGAAATGTGGATTTACAGAAGAATGATGAACATATCCTGGAAACGAATGAAAACCAACAAAGAGATATTGCAAATGGCAGGGCGTAAACAAATTGCACTTTTGACTAGAAGGATTAGTTAAAGAGAGAAAAATCAAATACTTTAGTCATGTTAAAAGGCACCAAAGCCTCTTAAAGGATGTGTTGGAAGGAAGATGGAAGGAAGTAGACCGAGAGGGAGACCCAGAATCAACTGGCCGGGAAGAGAACATCAAGAACTGGAGTGGACTAAAACTGCAAGAGTGCACCAGAATGGCAAAAGATAGAGTGATATGGAGAGATGTTGCAATCAACCTATGGATGTGCAAGATACTTAGATAGATAGATAGACTTGATGACTCATTTGACGTCATTGCGGGCATGTCCGATTTGCATAATTTTATAATAAGGAATAACGAAATAGTCAAAAACGTACTGGGATTATCAAGTGCATATTATTTTTCGGATAATTGTCTTTTTTTGTTCCAATTAATATCATAGTTTGCCTTTTTAAAGACATTTTAAAGCCTAAATCACCCTCCTTTCACCGCGGAGAGGCTCCTGCAGTGACGTCATATGCTATTGCGCAATACGGCTCCGAAACTGGGCCTTTTTTCTGAGCGTTCTGAGTCGACATTTTTAAAGCTATATTCCAAAATTATTGATGATTACTAAGAAAACTCATTGTCATGTTCGGAATCTCCGTCAAAAACTGTTCTACATGTCTTTTCCCCATTTTTTAGCCCGTTTTGGTTAGAGTGGCCCTTTAAGAAATCCTGGTGCACTCAGTTGTAAAGAAAATGTAGAAAACTTAAATTAATTGAATAGAATTTCCAGCACATGATATATCCTCATGGTAGCTAATCCCATTTGATCCATTCCTCTCACTTAATGGGAGTGCTGAATAGTGACATTTAATTCGTGAGCTACTTTATTTTGTTTGATATTTATGTTGAACAGGTGGAGAAAAAATAGGGGGTAATTTGGAGAGTGGTGTAGGATAAGGCTCTTGTATAATAATGGGGACAGTATCACTTTGTTAATGAATTTGGCTACTGATTAGGAGAAGAGAGCCTGTCAGTTTGTTCTCCTCCTTACCCCCTCCTCATTTGATTTTCTATCATTTCAAATAATCTGTTAGCCCTGTGTTACCATTGAAAGGGTATGCCGGTGGATGAGAGGAATAGCTCTGAATAAATAATAGGTTAATATGTTAATAGATAATCATTTGATAAAGATTGATCTGGGGCACATTTTGTTCTGTGATATAGAGAAACTATGTCCCAAAACTTTATGTGATAGACAATAAATTAAAACAAAATAGTCACATATTAAACCCTTGAGAATAACTTCAAGACAGTTTAATAAAAAATGGAATTACATCATCCGAATTATATCAAAAAATGAAATTACATCATCCGCAGACAAAAGGGAAGTAACCTTCAGCTGTTTATCTTTTATGATAATAGTGAGGGTTGCGATAACAAGCTTTTTCAGGGATTGTGATGTTTTGAAGGGCTTGCGTTTCTCCATCAATTCCCAGTGGATATTGCACAAGCATTCTGGCCTCAATGCTCATCCCAAGATTTAGTATACTCATTGTCTGATTGCAATTAAGTATGGACGGTTATTTTAAACGTGACCAGATATTAGTAAATTCGTGTGACTTGAGTCAATTCTCACTTGTCTTGTTGATGCAGGAGAGGCCATAGTACATTATGCTGTATATACATAGATTTAAATGGGTTTTTTTAAGGATAGTTTCATTTGGAAATTATTAACAGTCCGTGTTTAACATCTCTTCAAGGCTGCTTTCTAGACTTTTAATCTGGATGGCTTTAGCTCAAGTAACCGTTATCATGGCATAATTCATCTGCGGTAATAAACCCTAGCTGTCAGGTAGAGAGAGAGAGAGACAAGCGTTTATAATGTCTTTGACCCTGAGTCTTACAAATCCAGCCAAGTTGCCTCTTAATCTTTTGTCTAAATAAAAATAGATTTTTTTTTTAACATCAAGCGCCTCTCCTTGCCATTTTCCACATCATGTCACTATGTTCATGAGGTAGAAATTATCGATGATTTTGAAGCAATGCTCCTGTTTTTATTTGAACATTTCTCATGTCGGGAGTTGTCTGATGTACAGCCTTCAAGTATTCATGCTTGTTGAATCAGGTAACGCCCTACACTATATATTTAAAAAAAAGTGTTGGGTAAGATTTGCCCATCAGCATGAGGGTAATTGTGCGTGCTATCAACTTTGGCGCCTTTTTATGCCCAATTTACATCACGTTTTGCACGAACACGACCAAATTATTTAAAATTCCCCGTGTTGCGTCTATAATTACCCTGAAGTAGGTCGGACACGTAATTACTCTCATGATGGGGAATTTTTTTCCCATCTTTTCTTCTTCTTCTTCTTCTTCTTTTCCTTTTTAGGAATAGTCTGCCTCCTTCAACCTTAAAGATTTTTGCATAACTCTTAAGTAATGTTTTCGTTATATCACAATGAAAGAACGGTATACGTACATCAAGTAACATTCCATTTCAAAACTTATTTTCTGTCCGTTTAAGAATAGTCGCTTAAATTTCATGTGGAGGAAATGATCGGAAGCTTTATGTTTTCACGAAGTAAGATAGCCTACAGATATGACAATTTCTGAACAAAAAAAATCACTGACCTCGAAAAGAATTGATGACATTTAGCTTCAAGTATAGTATTATCTAGCATAATGTGATACATATTTTTTTTTTTTTTTTTTTTTTTTTTTTTGGGGGGGGGGGGTGGCGTGACATTTTCAAAAAGATCATCATTCAAACATTAATATAATGATCCCGGCATAATGACAAAAACCAGTCTCGAGGACTTTCGATTTGTAGAGTTATCCAAAGTTAAATGACTTGTTGACAAGTCTTGTTGGCTTTCAAGCCACTGACTTACCTCGACTTCCTTTATGGGGGAACCTCTTTGTCAACGCATCAAATACGGTTGTAAACAGTTATAAAAGTATTACAATTACAAGGAGATACGGTCGCATAGTAATAAAATAGATGATTAAACAGGGTTATAAGAAATGATTTGGTTAATGACATTCATCAAAGGCGCAGTTGGCGCGCAAAGAATTTCCAACCTACTTCAAAGGTCGTAAAAATGTATGGATGTATTTGGCTACTCTCATTCACAAGGCAAGACTAATTTGATTTAAAACCATTTCATTCCTGGTATTAATGACTCTCACTTCTCCTGACAGTATAAAGATAAACTTGCTTTAAGACGTTTATAGCGCAGATGACAAATTGTCTCGACTAGAATGATTGATATAAACTTCGAATATTTATTTTCGGTTATGTTGACAGTGTTGTGTGAAATGGGTAGCTCTCCTCACTCAAAACGCTATGTTCCATGTGAATAAAAGGCTTTATTATAATTACTATCAATGAAATTATGAAATATGACCTTGCTGACAAGAGATTGAGGAGAGGGTTGGACGACAGAAATAGGGGTATCAATTCGCTTGATAAATGAAATTGAAAAACAGTGAAAAAAGCAATGGATTTTCATTGAATCTTATCTTTATAAGTTTACAATAAACTTTCATACTATCTTTTACTTTATGCTACTCATCGATGTGTTTGCTGTGTGCGTGTGTGTGCGTGTGTGTGTGTGTGTGCGCGCGCGCGTGTGTGTGAGTATTTGCGTGTTCTATATTCTGTAGCTTAGTATTTCCATCCGTTGTATATAGGTCTACTTTACATTCGGTTTATTCACTTTGCCATATTGTTAATGTATGCATTTTGATGAATATAGGGCACCGATCACAAGCTTATAGCTTCTAAAAGTGTCCTAAAACCATTCATTTTATGATGTTATCAAGTTAATTATTACGAGTCTCTTTATTATGTAAAAGATTATATTATGTTTTGTGTGGTTTTAAATAAAATGAACTTGAATGAACTTGAATAGCTAAACATCAGCAATAAAACAGAAAAACAACTTGCGCTTTTGATGTCACTAGGCTCATGAGCCCCTCCCCCATGACATTATTCATTTCTTCATGTAAAGTTTTGACTTATCAATATTTTCTGCAGACGATGGCGGACCCAGGACTTTCTGGCAGGGGCACCCGTCCGAAGATTCTGTGATTACAAAAAATGGTCACAGTGCCCCTCCCCCCTTTCATGGATCCGACACTTAGTGAATACTCACATATGTTTTAAATTCAGTTAAATCGGTTATAATCTGCCTGGATTAATTTGAGATCTAGTTCATCAGTACTCCTAAGGCCTAACCAAATCCAAACTATTGAGGTGACCCCCCCCCCCCCCCGCCGCAGAATCCCATCTTACATTTAAAAATTTAAAAGACGACACTGTCAGCCGTATCGGTAATATTAGAAATTGGTAAACAGGGGAAGGTGCGACGGTGAAATTAGTACGCTTAGCGTGTCGTTAGAGTAGACCCTCTTCAAGTTTTATTGATTGAAGGCGAGGTGTGTATAGTTATGAGCTTTGTCCTATGTTACAGATACGCTATTGGTTTCGATATGTATATATAAAACCTATGTAGAAAAAAAAAATTCATGGCTAATTCAACTTGTTATTTTTTGAGTTACCCTTTAAATATAGCAAACTACACACCATTATTATTGTCATTAACACAGACAATGATTTTGGGCTGATTTATGATCTTTTAATAGAAACAAAATATGTGACAAACAACTGCTGCTGAATAATGTGCAATACATATAAATATACATACATATATATAAATCAAAACAACAATTACTTTTCTATAAACTTTTTTTTTTCATGAAGGAAAATATTTCTTAGCAAGTTTTACTCATGTATTTAATAAAAGAATGTTTTACATTTAAAAATGACAAGTTAATTTATATACATTTACATGTATGCAGCAATGCCGACACTATTAACTGATACTTTTCATCATATAGCATTCCTAAGCAGCTTAAAGTGCAACAATGTTATATCTCGTTTTACTTTGATATAGAAAAGACGAAGAGTTTGTATAAACATTAAAATATGATGAACAAAATAAATAAAGGGCTTGGCGAGAGTCAAAATTTATCTTTGAAATACACAAACGTGTAGAAAATAATGTCGCCTTTCACATTCAGACTGTCTAAGCTTTACAATACTAAGAATCTTTGTCGAAAAGTTCCATGTACATAATTATAGCACAACCTATGTTTCAATGCAAGCATTTGGAATGGCAGTATTGAAGTAGAAATCCAAGGGCTAATGTTTCGTTCATGAACGTCTTAAATTTTTTTCTTTAAATATTAGACTTGCTATTCACAAATTAAATTCATCAGAATAAAATACTAAAATACTAATATCAGCTGCCTATAAAGACAAGTGGTTCACAATCACAGCTGCAGAATATTCGTATCAAGGGAAAGAATGATCATTTATCAACGGCTGTCTGGAATAATTTCTCTTTTTACTATTCAAGGTGAAATCACAATGAAAAGTAATGAACGACAAGACTAAACCTGCATTTCTCCGAAAGAAGATAACAGTTTGTCTGTCATATACGGTGTTTTACTTCAGAGTGACGTACGTTGAAACCCAGGTAAGCTGCCCAGGCTGACACACCGAATGATTATGGTTTTGCTTGGAATATTCAAACAGATTTGTTTCCAACCAAAGTTATACCCGATTCGTCTACCATTCAACCGCGAGAGAAGATAGTGTAAATGTTCACATCACTCTAAAGGAATTAGACATGGTTGAAGGTCCGCCTACGTGATATTTTGAGAGGCGATGTCTTCTGTTTCATGCAAAGGCAAATGATATTGGGTTCAATCAAGGAGGTACTCCCTTGCTTCGAAGACATAATCACGAGAAATGCGTGAATAATAGGCACTTTGTTTATCAGATGACTTCACAATCGATCGCTGCTATGGAACGCCTGTTTTAAAACCAATGTAGAGATGTAACAAAACAAAAAACAAAAAGGATACAAAGCAATTTCGGATAGACAACTTTACAGAAAATAATCAAAGACGGAAGTTAGAAGAAAAAATGAAAGCATGAGGTAATTATGATCAAATTAACCTTTAACAAAATTAAACTCTCATCTTCTTCTTTAAAAAAATACAAATCTTAATCTCCGCATAAGTACAACAACAACAACGACAGAAAAAAAACAAAAAACATATCACATCCAGAAAGTTATCTTGTTTTTTCATCAACCAAAATCACAGAAACCTAGCGACAAAATGTTTTTTTTTTAAAGTGTGTGCAACGAGAGTGGTGAAATCACGGACACTTGGTTCATTCCGGACATTGCACGCAGTTCACGGAACAATGGGCCATTTTCGAACTGTAACCAAATTGAAAGCATACGTCTTTCATCTGTCACGAATAAATGTATTTCAATTGTCAGAACGCGAATTGCATATTTTACGTATTGATCGGTATATATAGGGCAAGCCATTATTGAGATACACTTATTCGAAATTGAATAATTCGTATCCAGCCACTTAATAAAGTCAAAGACGGATGCATTAAACTTGGTTACAATACAATACGAAAATGGCTTATTGGTGTCTCCTCCTTCGCCTGTTTAGATTTCTCAATGGACAATCCTGAAAACGGGGATATGAACTTCAAGATATGTTATCGTCATAAATCGGACCTAAAAAAATCGCAACGACTCAGCTGACCGCTGAATAAGGGGGGGGGGGGGGGGGGGGGGGGGGGGGGGGGGGGGGTAAGAGGACACTTTTTTTTTTTTTTTTTGGTCTCGAAATTTGGAAATTTGACATTTTGCTCAGTTGGGGGGGGGGGGGTAAGGTCACCTTTTTTAGGTCGGCCGTGGGCATAATTTTTTTTTTTTTTTTTTTTTTTAAATAAAAAAATCAAAAGGGGGGTTTAGGTTTTTTAGGGGGGGGGTTTACATACATGAAATTACCAAAGGGGGGGGGGTTAACCCCCAACCCCCCCCCCTGCGTACGCACCTGACGCAGTGTAATTGTGCATCAACACTGTAACTTGTGAAGCCTCAAATTTGTAGAGTTACGGTGCTCGAGGCTGTTGTTCATATATATATATAATACACAAAAGAGCCCAAGATTAATCCAATATCCCATATAAGTTTTAAATGTATAGTTTCCATAAATTATGTAAGACCCCAAAACACAGTCTGAACATACTGTGTAAAATGCCCTTTAAAAAATAGGACCTTTGTACGACTATAGTTTTTTATATTTTTTTATTGGGAGGAATTCAAGCCCGTTCTTACAATACCTTAAAGTAGCTGTGGCTTTGCGAAAGGGGGGGGGGCGGCACATCTATTGTTTTTGGTAAAAATATCTCTCTAGTGAAGAAGAACCTTTTCTAGCATGCGAGAAACAAAAAAATTGTTCGGCCTAGAATCACGGAAGTTACAAAAGAGGAGAAGGGGGCATTTGAGGCATCGGAAGGTGACAACGATCCTCAAGATTATGTCTATATAATTATAGTTCTATAATAAGTTCTATAAAATAGAACTGACCATCATCTACAAACAAACTTTTTGATTGTCACACAATACAAGGTGGTAGGCTGCTTCTAATGCAGTGATATATTTTCAGTCTTCCTCCACGAAATGTAACTTTCAAAATACCGGTGTCACTTTACGGTGTAAAATGCTGTTCAGTAGAATTAGCCGATACTATGACGCCGCCCCTGTCTGTTACTAGTCATAAATTGTTTCGTGAAGTCTGTCGAAGGTTCTACGACCTTAGTCTTCTCCTCCTCCTCGCACTCCTCAGCAATAGTAGCTAAGTCCTCAGCCGGGTAGAAATCAGTGTTTACATCCCCCGAACCAATGACGGTATGAGCACGTACACGACCGTTCTCAATGCTCGTGATCGACGGGCGTGGCATGTAATGTCTACGATCAGGTAGTCGATATGTAATACTAGGAGGCTGGATGGAACCGAAGAGTTCGGTTGGTATCATGGATACATTCCCCACCACGTTACCTTCGCTTCGTCGATAGTAGTACCTGATAAAAGGAAACAGGATTCCGGCTTCCAAGATGAATACAATACACTGTATGACTGTACGGAAAAACAAAGAACAAAATAATAAATCGATAAATGATTCAATATCACTGTCTCTAAATGTCAAAAGCTTAAAGTTTGTGTTTGCAGTAAATCAGGTAGTTTAGGAGGGAGGAGGGGTAGAGGAGGGCGTGGTAGGAAGGGAGATGGGGAAGGAGACTAGGTTTCTTCGGCAGGGTGAACGGGGGGGGGGGGTCAGGGAGAACATTTTTATTTTCATCGTCATCCAGTGTTATGACTTGTAATATAAATGTTGTTCTTGCTATTTTAATGTATTGTTTGTAATTATTATGATATCAAAATCAATGATATTACATGTAACAAAATATTTTTTTCTTCTTCTTCTCAATTAGGCCTATATGTTACATTGTGTTCATTGAATGAAAAATAAAATACTTTCTAAAACAAAATAATAACTTCAATTCCCATGTAGGTTTGTCTGTTTAACTGCGATTTAGATCAGATTTATTGAGCATGAAACCTGCAGAAAAATCATCGTTGTAGGAAAAATTCAGATCAGTTTGTGTTTTTATCATAAATAACTTTGAAAGTATAATATAGTATATGCTTTTAAATGTTTTCATTATCATAAAGTGAATGTAATATCATACGATATAATTGCAGGTTGTCTCGATCTAGAGTGAAAATGGAGTGTTTAATAATAATAAACAATATTTATAAGGCGCTTAATACTGGTGTCTCTAAGCGCACCATATTCTGACTTAACAATTTAAGTGTTTAGAATTTAAATATTTGAAAAAGGGATAAAAATGATAGTTTGTATTTAGAGCTGCCATTGAATTCAGATATATTGTAATATTGTATATAAAATTAGAACATAACGACATCTCTGCGCCTCATATTCGAACGATAATGAGTTTTCGATTTTAATTCTAGCGATTCATAAACATTATAAAGTGACGTGGAGTAAAACAAACAAAAATGGAGGGAAAATATGAAAGAGATAGTAAATGAGAAAGAGAGCAGGAAAGAGCGAAAGAGAACGGAGACACGGTAAAGAGAGAGACACGAAGGGAGGCAATACTTATAGAAACAGGGAGGGAGAGAGAGAGAGAGAGAGAGAGAGAGAGAGAGGGGGGGGGGGGGCAACAGATACGGAGAAAGTATAATACTCACAGTTGGATCTTGCATGGTTAGAGAAAGGAAAACGACAGCCTAGGAATCGGAATCTCATGAATAGACTGAGTAGTGCTGGTTGGATGTTACAGATCACAATACCAAGCTTGATAAAGGTAAACTTAGTCCGAACATAGAAAGGTTCAAGAAACCTGGTAGAAGCTACATAAATCATGTTCAGAGCCATCATCGCTATCACTGAAGAAAAGATGGTCGTAATATTCACAATCAGGAAGGGCCTATCTGCTTCTACCTAGAAAATAAGGAACATCGAACAACTTTCGTTTGAATTTATGTCTTAATTTCATATCCTGTCCTGCAGGAGAATTTATACAGCCTACCGTATACTAACTTGACTCCGACTTGATTTCTAAGGCAATTTTATTTTCATTAGCTGAGTATTACATTTGTAAATTCTTCTTGACTGGAGTCCCGAAATATATGTGAAATATTTTACCGAAAATTGCGTTAAAGCAAATCAGTCACAACTCGTAAGACGTCGAACCAGTCATGCTCGTCGCGGACTCCCAAACCGACTTGAAACTGAATCGGCCCGATCTGTGATTGAAGGGCTTGAAATACATCCTAAATTCCAATATTAATTCATATTTTTAAATTTCCAAATTTCAATTGGACAGGTTGTATAGGGGTGTAATGTACCTGAGCGATATCAACCATCTTACTCTAGAATTAGGAAAAGAAAGGCCTGTACAAATAAAATTAGGGTGGAATAGTGACTCGATACCGATTCAAGGCTGATAATGACTTCTGACCTATGAGATCACTAATTGTCCTTATTATTTGTTATCAACTCTATTAACTTTATCAAGAAATGTAAACATTGTAAGTTATTAATCTATGAACGTAATTGAGTGGTTAAATCTAATTATCTCTATCCGTTTACATGATATAACAGTAGGACACAGAATATGAAATGAATGAACACCTTTACCTGATCAGTCAAGTATACAGCATCTAACCAAAATAGCACTCCAATGAATGTTGTGACAGGTTTGACTATGGCCACTTGTAAGACGGCGATCTTCAACCATTTAAAACTGTGCCTGCATGTGTTTCAATGAGTAATAGAGAAGTTTTAGTTCACATTATATCAGAACCAAAACGATTCATAAATCATTTCATCGCGGTAGAAATAATTATACCAGAACGATTAAAAGTATCTCTCATTTTGTCTCGATTTGTTTTGAAAGTTTGATGGAGAACATGTTTTCATATCTTCGCCTCAATTTAAAATATATAGTTGAATACAGGTCAATGATTGCTTTATGAAAGAAACTGCCCCAAAGTTATCGGGAAAGGTTATTTTACGCCGTGCAACAAACTTAAGAATAGTTATGCATTGCTAACTTTTGAAAACGTCAAAATTATAACCAAAAAAAGTACGCTGTCTTCAGTAAATCACCTTGCAGTGAGAATTACTGCACACGGACATGGGACTGCACGGTGCGTACACAAAAAAGTGTACCAAACTTGGTAGCTTTTAATTAAAAATGTATACTCTAAAATCTATGTGATCTTCAATCATATTTCATTATAAAGAAGAATTAATACCCAGTCTAATGATACCAGTTTATAATTGTACTGGCAAGGATGACTGAACAGCAGGCTTTTAAAAAATATTGTCAAAAACCTCTTGCATATAAAGTTTGGGCTGAAGAAATGAATGTGGGTCAAAAGCCATTATGTGTGTGTTATCTCATTACAAAAACAATTGCTCAATTATTTACATTGACTATTAGGCAGCTGCAAAAAGGTGTTAATATCAAACCAAACTCAAGGAAATTCTTATTACAAACAAAATGTATGATATTCTCTTCGTTATGATGATTACAATCTTGACTCCATTCTCATCCTTTGTTTATAACAACCTTCTTGAGTGGTAGAAAATAGATAAACTTTATTTGGGACATTATCTTTTTTATGAAAGTTTGCTGTAAATTCTTTGATAATCAACGAATAGATCAGCTTGTTTTCATTAGTGTCAAATTATATAAAGTTTATATAAATTTGACACTAATGAAAAACAAAGACAATGCATTTTCCTTGAAAACGGACAAATATTGCCCCGTCTCATAAAAAAAACACAAAATATAAAGATGATCATTTTATATTTTGAATTACCTAGTTCAGTGACCTAAATTGGCATTACATGCTTTATGTTTAACAGGAGCTAAAAAGAAGTTAATCTAATCACTGTTGCCTTCAAGGCAGGTATTCAGCTATACTTCATTTGCAAATTCAAAGAATCGTCAATCTCCAGGCTGATCAAAATTTATCAGCATTGAAGGTTACGTGATATGATTTTATCCTGAGATGAATCAAGATGAATTACCTTGTTAGTCTCTTCTCTGGTAAACAAGGGCAGCAGCATGTTAGCGGTGTGCTTGCCAGAGGAAAGGTGAAATGCTCGGCTGAAAAATGATACATCATTTTCTCATAACCTCCATAGTAGTTCATTACAATGACCAGGAACTTAAACATGGTGAAGGAATAACATCTGGAAGGTAAAATAATAATCACAAAACCAGAAGAATAGAATTTATTTCTTACCACTAAAATATTATGTTTATTATCGCCACAATGACAATTTGACCTGCCCCCCTCCCCCCCCCCCCAAAAAAAAGAATAATACTTCCAAAGAGTTTACTTCTGCCTAATTGCATAACTTACTGCCTAATTGCGGAGCGCCAGGAGTGTCAAGTATGACACATAGTATGAGCACTATACAAGCCCCGTTATTTAAATTATTACAATTATTATTCCTTACTGACCAAATTTATGGTGAGATAAAGATTAATCACACCATGCATTGAGGATAGCAAAATCAATCATGGTAAAGTTATTCAGAATATTGATTTCACCCGGAAAGAATTTTCAACAGAGTTTTAGGAAAGATGATTAAAGCACATTGGATTTGTTAATGGCTTGCGACACGTATTCATTCATATTTTTTGGACTACGTTTACTAATGAAGTTATTTGAAATATAATTTCATAAAACTGTCAATGTGTACCGATTATAGCTTTCATTTTAAAGCCAAATGTAAAGCACATTTTAAGAAAAGCATTTAAATTTCATCTTAAACGAAGACCAATCAATCATGATAAGCATTAACAGTTTCAATCATGATAGAAGAAAGATGTTTAGACCAAGTTCTCAACGAATTTCGAAAATATGAAATAGAGAAATAATTTTAACATAATAACTTTACATGTCCCCTCTTATCGGATCATATTGCAAAATGTTTTCTTTCACGTAATAAGACATTGACTGCATTCAATCAACCTTTCTGCATCCTTGAACTAGATGCAAAACTAAAGTAAGACACCAAATGTGAATTTAAATACTTACAGCGATGCTACCAAATTACAAAATGCGGCGGATACAGGCGAGTAGACTCCTGGTAACACCACACAACTCATCACCTGAAAGACAGTATTTATATTATCTCATTAACAACAAAAATGCAAGTAACATCTTTACATGGAGATTCAGAATGGTGAGATAGGGAAGGGTAACCGCATTAGTCCATAACATTCGTAGATTACGACAATATAAGAATCAGTATGTTTATGGTCATGCGTGCGGAAAGATGAGGATGAGTTAGACTTTAGAATATTCTTATCTCTTGAAAACACTGGCACACAATTAATCCGAGAAGCTCTCTTTTTTCTTTATTTTAAGTACAATGAAACTTTGATATATCAAAGTTTATGCTTGTTGGAATTTGGCCAAACTTAGCAATTCGGCATCCTTTATCTAAACTGATTCAGAGGTATATGAAAATAGAACATTATCAATACGCCTTTGAATAAAAATTGGTTTAGATAAATTAACAAACCAACAAGCAAACAAAAAACGAAGAAAAACAAAGAAATGAACACCCATTATATTTACAACGTTCTCGACTATGAATCTTCCATGATTGCGTTCAGATGATGTGATCGTATAATTACTTTTTCAACAAACCAAACGATGTTTGAGATGGAGGATATTGACTTACTGGTGTTCGTAGACTTCAGGGCTGTGCACATTAATTTTTCCCCAAAAAAATAAATGATGTTTGAGATGGAGGATATTGACTTACTGGTGTTCGTAGACTTCAGGGCTGTGCACATTAATCCCCCCCCCAAAAAAAAAAAAATGATGTTTGAGATGGAGCCGGGAAATTGACTTACTGGTAATACAGCAATCATCCACCATGTTGTGACGCGATGGTTGGAGACGGTTGAAGGGCGTACATTCCTGTCTAAGAAGCATGCTGACTCAATGAGGCAAGCTACAAGTAGTATCGTCACCAATGTGCAGGCGATAAGCAAAGTCAAGTTGGCAGGCCTTTCTATGATCCCTGAAAAGGTAAAATACTCATGATAAGACCACCATCTAAAGGTATAGAATGCATGGAAATTATGGCGGACCTAATTAAGAGTCGATTTTTACAGTTATTTAACATAATTATCACCAAAAGCAATATATTATCATAATATCATAATAACATAGCAGTATTTTCAGGATGACACACAAAGTCTTATGAATACATAAATTGAAAGTTTAATCTAAGCAAAAAGAGAAAAATAGCCAAGTATACATATGAAAAGAAAAAAATAATCGCTTTTGAAGCCTACCTTCTAGTAAACTGCAGGAATTAGGGAGCAGAAAGTATTAATACATTATCTTTTGATTATTAATCTTTTCTTGTATATATTGTTTTTCCGTCAATGTTGTTTTTGTTGATTTCTCTAATTTCTCTATATATAATTTTAGGTCATGGTTGGCACCCCAACCACAAGTTTGTATTCAAACTTCTTTAGGGGCTCATAACCCCATGTTTTTATATTTCCATGAATTATTGTATATGTAATTCTAAGGTTAAAATAAATTGAATTGAATTGAATTGAATCTTAACATAACCTGGTTATTAGAGAGAGAGATATCTTTGAAGACGGTCTTGACGGCAATCCAAAATTGTCAAATTTTAATTCATAATTATTTTATTGGTATGTGTAGAGGATAGTGATTATAGTTATTCGTACTTTCTACCAGCTTCTCTTTCGTTCCTTATTTTCCTTTGTTTTTCTCCTTTAGGCCAAATATTTTCTTCTAAATCATTTCCTTTGTAATTCTTCATTCTTTTCCTATCTTTCCTCATGTTATTAATTTGTTTAAATCCTTCTTTTATCGTCTATTTCTTTATTTTATTATGAAATACATTACAATTTTTTCATTTTTTATTCTATCATTTCCTGGATAGAAAGAAGAGTTACATAAGGACAGGTATAGAAGAAAATTTAAAAGATATTTAAAAACAAAGAATAAAATTAGGAAAGATATTTAAAAACAAAGAATAAAATTAGGAAAGATAAACAGAAAATATAAAATAATCAAAATTAAGGAGTATATAGGGAATGACAGAATAGAAAATAAAAGGAAGAGGAAAGGGTTGTACATAGTGAAGAAGTCATAGAAGAGAGAAAAGGAATAAAAACTCAAAATGTGCTTTAAATGTGATTTGCATCACTGATAGTGATTGGCCTAGATTCAAGAAAGCATTTCAACTTAATTTTGAGCACAGAACTAATGGGCCAACAAAAATGTCTGGAATTGACAAGAAGAAAAAAAATTGTAGCTCAAAACTGTACAAAAGTATAAAGAGAAAATCCTTTAAAAGATATTTCAAACATTGTTTTATAGCACACAAGTCTACGGAAGAGATTTAAACCGCGCGAATCCTTTCGCTGATGCCGTGTGTTTTAATTAATGAGAGAGATAACGAAGATGAAAACATTGATTTCGCAATGTATGGTTGTGATGATGATGATAATGGTAATAATGTTGATCATGATGATGAAGCTGATAATGATGATAGTGGTAATATTGGTGATGCTAATCAAGATGGTGGTGGTGGTGATGACGATATGGTGAGGCATTGTGTTGATAATGATAATTGATGTAAGTTGGTAATAATGATGGTCGTTGTCAAGAAAGGACTTCGAACTATCGAAAAAAGCGAGAGTATGACTTGTTTTGTACATCATTTAAAAATGCTAGCGATGCAATTAAATTGATATGGTTCGTTTTTTTCTCGTGTGAAATTTGCCGAAAGACACTCATTATTAGTGACAGTATTGTCACGCTTTTTCAATTAAATCCAATCGACCATAGCTCGCTCAAATCCTTTCATCCATTCATTTAATTGTGTACCTGACATCTCTAATCACTCAATATATAGCCGCATTCAGTAGGGAGACAGGATATTTAATTGGGAGCGGTGGGAAAGATCTAACTTTTAATTCAAGGTGATGAAGTATGTAATATACGTCAACATTATTGAACAGTTCCATGAAAGGAAAGAAACGATCATGTGAATAGGCACAATTTATCACTTTCGATTTATTTCAATGCATTAATGGGTTTTATAAAAGGCAAAGGGGTGAGTTATTCATGCTGATGTAATATTTTATAAAACAAAATAGCATCAAGATGTATGTGAATAAGCAAAATAATGGGTACTCCGACATTGATTTATTGCAGCTCCTGAAATAATGAATTGCATTCCAGTTTCCCAGAGAAAGCGTGACAACTGTTATTGTTTTCTAATAGGTATTTCTATTCATTCGATATCGTGATGCGTTTACCAGTAATGTTTGCAAATTTCCTTTCTAATACGTATGTAGGGTGTTACCCAGGCAACGAGTCTCGGACTCCATCTGCTTTGAGAGAGGGTGGGGGGGGGGGGGGAATGGGAAAATCAACGTAAAAAGGAATAATATCAGTCCTTAAAACCTTTTCCCAATCGATGGTCTCATTTATTTGCTTTCACCCATCTAATTAAACAGATGACCCCGGATCTATGGCGCCTAGCTAGCTCCCTGTTTGTAATACATTGCATTAGTTTTGTTAATAATGTGTATCGGTGATGGTGAGAAGGTCATCCTAGTTTCAGAATCGCCTGAATAATAACACAAGAGACGTGAAACTTAGCCAGCTCCCAAATTGACGTACTAAAGAATTTGGAAGTGTACGCCACTCAATTAAGCTAACTACCCACACGACTTAACTAATGACACTTTCACTACTACACTGAGGCACATAAAGTTAGAATATGTTTGTTACCTATTTTCATGAAGTCATTGACATTGTTACAATATGATTTATTTTTGAGAGATAAAGGTTATATCTAATCGGGACTAATCAGTCTTCAGTTATCAATGTAAAGCATGCAAATTCGTTTTGCATTGTTAAATAACAACTTTACACAACATTGGGTGATTCACTCCTTACACAGGGGTTGTATTAAGTTGTGTAAATGAAATTACACAACTTTACACAACGAATTTGGAAGTGTACGCCACTCAATTAAGCTAACTACCCACACGACTTAACTAATGACACTTTCACTACTACACTGAGGCACATAAAGTTAGAATATGTTTGTTACCTATTTTCATGAAGTCATTGACATTGTTACAATATGATTTATTTTTGAGAGATAAAGGTTATATCTAATCGGGACTAATCAGTCTTCAGTTATCAATGTAAAGCATTATTTTGTTTAACGTAACTGAACTCTCATCCCTTTCTTTCTCCCCTTTTAAAAATGTTAAATAACAACTTTACACAACATTGGGTGATTCACTCCTTACACAGGGGTTGTATTAAGTTGTGTAAATGAAATTACACAACTTTACACAACGAATTTGCAGTGTAAAGCTGTGTAATTTATTTTACACAACGTTGTGTAAAGTCGTTACACAACAAATTTGCAGTGTAAAGTTTGATCAATGAAATTATGAGAAGATATTGACTGTTATCTACTAAGCAGAAACCATATTGTCACAATAATCTCTTGAAAAGAGGTAAGAAAAAAAATATGCCAACTTTTTGGGCAAAAGTGTAATTGCATAGAAAGTTGTGATGCAAACAAAAAAACACGCAACTCCCCAAAATTCGAACTTAATGATACTTCCGATTGGTTGAAAGTTAGTCATAGCAGGGATTAAGCAGCTTCTCAGACCAATACTCTAATTATTGTACAGTTTCATGTCACTTAGTGGAAGAGCTTGGTTTCTGCCACTGGGGGGGGGGGCACCCCTCTTACCTTAGTTAATGAATCAGTGTGAATGAAATGCATGAGAAAATCATCGAGTGACGGATTCCATTATTTTGTTTAACGTAACTGAACTCTCATCCCTTTCTTTCTCCCCCTTTTAAAAATATATATGTTCATATGTTTTTCTTTTCTTCATGCACACTTCGTTCACATGAGTATAGACTTAGAGTATACACTAAACTTCTTAATAATTTTCAATATTTAAAGTTGACTCCAAAACATATATAGGAGCAATTTTCCATTTACTATGAAAAATACATCTTTCTTTCATTATCAGCAATTTCGAAACTTCATTGTATTGTTCTTTATTGTATATACACTAAAACATCGAACAAAATGTAAATAATGATTACAAAAAATGAAATCATATCCAAACCACTTTATTTTCACAACATTATTATACTCTAAAGACTACTAGATATTTCAAGTTAAGCCGTGTCTGATGAGTTTTCGTCGTAACAACATAATCACGATAATTCATCCTCTTGTGTCTAATCAATTATAAAGACGCGGTATTTGGTTCACCTTGTAATGAATAATTACTATCCTTTTGCGGAGTATTCCTACCTTTGAGATAATCCTCCGTGCTTGGTAATCCACTTGAATTCTCTAAACAATCTACCGAAGACATCTTTCTTTACAGATATTCAAATTGATGATCAATTACCGTTCTATTCTATTCCACACAATGGTTGAGCCAGTGATAATTACAATCAATAGAATACAACCATGCTGATTAATATCAAGTATAGAATTCCTGAAATTAAACCAGAACCTTGATCCTGATGTTGTCCTCAAAGTTTACTCTCAGGGGCTGCTCAAACTTCAAAACTGATTTTAAACAGGATGTGGATGCGTTGCATAAACATCTCTGATTTTTATTATTCACAGTTCACATCGATGTTTACGTCAAATACAGTGGTTGCCGTGCATCAAAGTGGATTTTGAATTACCTCCACTTTTGGTTTTATGTAAGTTGTCACGTATTGTCCTTCCTTGTTTAAATAACGAAAAATCAAAGATTAACGTTCAAGGGTGATCATAAGATAAAGATGGTCGACTGAAAAAGTCGGGAAAATTTGCAAGTGATAAAGTATGAACTTTGGAATTAATGTGATGATTAGTTTAATTAACTTCCTCGTTAGTGCTTGAAGATTGAAGTGTTTGTGATTTAGGCGTGGAAATTGTTATATTGTTTAAAACAAAATGCTTAGGTAAACAGTTAATTATTATTTGAACATTTAGGATTAATGGATTTGTCATTCAAAAAAAGAATATTTTGTTTTATTTAAACATATTTTACTGAAAGATTCGGTCTGATTATTAAAGTAATTAGGATTGCTTTTATTATTATTTTTTTTTTTAAATATTGTATTTGTACATCTGATCTCTCTGTGTCTTTCTCTCTTTGTCTGTCTCTGTCGGTATGTCTGTCTGTCTGTCTCTCTTTGTCTCTGTCTCTCTCTGTCTCTCTCTCTCTATATATATGTATGTCTGTATATATATATATATATATATATATATATATATATATATATATATATATATCTCAATTATACACAATCAGCAGTTAATAGCTTTAATTATATTGAAAAACCATGAGTAAGAGGGTTTTTGCACTAATTACATAAGCATGCCAAGAAAGATCTTATATCTTTATAAAATACGAATACTATAAATTGGGCACTTGATGGTGCAATGGGATACATTCGAGTGCAAAACATATAACCACCGTATCTCTTATTATCACCCCTCTCATTACATATATGGAAATAGGCATAAAGTGGATAAGAGTGGCTGTCGGGTGAACAATTCTCATTTTTATTCCATAGCGAATCATGTCAAAATATCTGACGAGTTTGTATTCAAATAACTTCAACTATAGTCTTGAAGAGAACAATTTATTCTTTTCGTAGCTTGGAACAATGCTCATAAAGTAAAAGAAGATGATAATGCACTAATCAAGAGTGGTATCCATTTTTACATGAGAATTTGTATAAGCGCCATTTGTAGGAATGCCCCCCCCCCCTCACACACACTAACATAGATAACATGTTCATCTGTCCTTAATTGAATGACTAATACTAATATCACATTACTCGTACAAAGAATGCAGTTGTTGGTGCCCTTGATCGTAGTTATTTATTTAAAAATGCAAAAAATTGAGAACATTGAAAACATGCATAATCTTTTTACAGAATGCGTCATGTTCTGATTCATCATCATTAGTTCAACTAAATAAAAATGTACATTCATCATCATATACAAAGCAAGCTAACAAGGCTTCTTTAAATGAAGAGAACAGTTTATTCTGCGTAGCATGGAACAATAATATTTCAGAAACTGTTAATAATGGCCTTTCAACCAGACATAGAGACCATTACAACAATGATGTTATTATCATACTAGATCAGTTTTTTCTAAATGTACACATTCCTTGTGATTCACGTCATACTTTTCATATTTTATCTTGCTAAAATAACATACTACATCTCGAAGTTTAAAAGTACTATTATATAATTTCAAATACATCTATTGTAATGTTACTGTCAACGATCTGGCGCAAAATAAGGAGAAAAAAAATTGTGTTTACTTATTGGCAAACATTTAAATTCATCCACTATTACAATAATATATGCAGGTGCGAGTAGCTGCATGATAATTATGTGTACAATAAAGCAATTCTTCAACCATTAAAAAATGTAATAATGCTTCTTTCTTCCCTTCATTTATTTATTACAATTTAAAAGTCGTTCTTCCTATTTCTTTTTCGTATGATGACCTGATAAAGCACATCTTGCTTACTCTTATTGTCCCATAATAATGACATTTTAAATTAGTTTTTATGTTCTAAAGCATTATGCCATTTTTGTTTGTTACACAGAATACTTGTACCAGTATGCTCGGTACAGAAATTGACACCATACATCAACTTAAATCAAATCTAATGCTACAATTATTGAAAGCAATCATGAACAGTTAAATTCATAGACAGACATTTTTATATGAATAACCGGCGACTGAACCAAAAGTGAAATAGAAAGTGAAGGTGGATTATAATCAAACTTGGTCTAATTAAACGTGTGTGGTTGAACACACGACAACCAAATCTTTTAAGAAATTATACAAATAAATAATAATTACTAAAAAAAAAAAGTTCTGAGGATCGTATAAAACTTGAATTAAGAGAGAGTTCTGTCTTATTGTTAATTAAAACAATCATGAATAGTACAATTTTATCAAATCTTGACTCTACCATATCATATACAATACTTAGGCATTGATTACTGTGCGCTTATTTTATTTCAGTATGAAAATCATTTTTTTTAATGATAATGATAATGATAGATACTTGATTACAAACTAATCATCGATTCACATGGCGATGTAAGAATTAAAGCTAATAGAGGAAGAGCTCCTGGGTTTAGTTAGACTATCTTCGGTTTCCGCCCTTACTCTTTCAAGTTGAGGGTTCTTTGGGGGCGTTCCCCCGTAAAATCCTTTGTAGTTAAAAGAGGGGTTGAAGTGATCGGATGGAGATTTGGTGAAAGCGATTCGAGGGATTTGAAGCACACCCACCATGTTACCATGCCTGGTTCTGAAGTATCGTAGAGTGATTGGGAAGAGGAGTGCCGATTCGACGACCAGACAGAGACATTGCCAACCTGTCAATTGTAAAGGGGAGACAATAAGGAGACGGTTTATTTGTTTGTAATAATTAATTGAAGTCTACTCAAAGTAGTAAATGTTGAAAATTTAACATTACGAAGGAGTGTAATGTTTTTGCTTTCCAGCTTCAAGCATATATGCAAACTTGACCTGATGCACAAAAACTGTTATATGTGATATCGCCCTCCGGTATTATGTTCGTGGTTGTAATAAAATTGTATCACGGCCTTGTCTATATTTTGCATAGTATAATATGTAAAAGATCATCTATATATAATTAATCTATAATTACTTCCTGATGATCCAACCACTCATAACTCTTTGTTATGTTTTGCATTTTTATTATCTTTACCTTTTTTTTTAAATTAAAAAAAAAATCATTTTCAGCAGTCCTGATTAGGGACAATTATAATATGTTCAAGTCAGACAAATATTACTTCATTAGTTAAGTTATCTGTAAGCATTCCCCTACCACATAACAAATTGTAATACTAGTGACCTTATAACACTAAAGCAATTAAAGTCCTCTCAGAACCATTCATTTTTTTCCATAGAACCTATTGGTACTTCTATCGATATAATAATTTTTATCAAGATCTTATCAAATCTTGGACACGTTTCACAAAGCCTTGGTGCCATGAATAAACCGATGTAATCAGATAATGAGATCTAATTAAAAGATGAAATGGAAGATTAAAGATTTGCGACTGTGAGTATAATTGGCATTACAAGACAATATATATGGCAACCAATCTAGCTTACTACTTCCTCTTGTCTCCCAATCGAATGGCTTGGAGCACTTGATGACGTCAGTCAATGTGAGCACATCGAAGAGGAGAATCTGGATGTTACTGAAGTACAAGGCGAGTCCGACAATCACAAATTTGATGGTGATGGAGAAAGCCTTGAGATGCTCTCGTGATGCGAGGAAGAGAACGACCAGGGCGAAGATGGCGACGAGTGATGATAGGAAAGTGAAGAGGTTGAGATAGACGTAGGCGTCATTGACACTGATCTAAATCAAAATCGAACATGCAACTAAATATTATGATAAAAATCATGATAATATATATTTTTGTTAAATCTATAAAGATCACCACAAAGTGGAGAGCCTAGCTGTCTACGTGCATGGTAGATACAACAAAACAAAATACAATTTCATGCTAACAATAATTTGATATTAGAGATAATGTTTATAGTTAATAATTCATGACGTGTTCTGTGAAAATGATAATACTGGCTTGATGCTATGCCCATGTTCGTTCGTGTAATTTCTATCACTTGGCATTTAAAAAAAGTATAAAGAGGAATCGGTCAATTCAGCCTAGAAGGCTCAGAATGAAACGAAAAAGTCAGAGACCAATGATTTCTATTCATAATGACAGACTACATAATTACTCACATTGTGTACTGAAGCCTGAAGGTATGCCAGATTTTGCTTATTTTTATCCATCCATCCCCTCCCCTCCTCAATGCGATTCCCACTTTTTAATAATCTAAATCCTTTCCTTTTCTATTAAGATTATAATTTATTGGTAGAAGATAGAACATTACCGAGCTGGTGTCGTAAGATTCATTCAACCACAAGATGTCTTCAATGAATAGAACTACTGGACGGAGTAAGGCCATTTGATAGATGCAAATTTTAAGCCGATAAAAGCTCTCCCTGTTTTGAAAAAAGAAAAGGAATTCATGACATAATAACTGGGTTTGGTTTAAAAGGTGTAATTATTTTAATTAAATTTCCCTTGAATGTACAGTATTCATATGCGACTTTTTTAGATAAAGATTCTATATAAGTAGTGTGAAGCATAACAATACATATAGCATGAATTACTTTGGGGTTTGTGTCAAAGTGCACATTTCCTGCATGCCATAATATTAAAGATGAATTTCATTTTGAACTACTTACTCAGTAAGTTGTAGTTTGCCTAGTATTTGAATCTCACTTA